TCATAGTGATTACTTTAATAAGCAATGGAGAGGAATGGGCACCTGTCACACAGTCTTCTCAAAGTAAGATGGGTATCTACAAAGGGGGATGTTTAAGTCCTGAAAGTACATGTAAGTGTGACTTCCAAGTACTTATTTTGATCTATTGACTATAAACACAGTTTAAATAACCCACATTGATAAAGGCCTCTCTATTTTATAAGCCTGTATTTAGGTGTCATGAATTCACCCATGAACAGCCTTAAAAAAAGCATTTTGATAAACTGAGACATTCAGAAAGAGCTAAAGGATCAGCCAATGTCTGCCCCAATCTGCAGATCACGTAAGGAACTCCTCCAGCATTTGAGAGAGAGCCACATTTAGGAGAAGAGTCTAGATTACCAGGTTCCGACAGTGGAAAGCAAGATGTGTAAAAGGCTGGGAAAATTACATCATTCCAGTCTACAGCTGGATAAATGTTCTACACTTCATCAGCAGGGCTCTTTCCATCATGGGATTTCTCCAAATGAGTTAGATTCACGGACAGTACCAGATACAAGTGGTCAGACGAAGGTGGAAAGCCCTTGGAGTTATAACTAGGTGAGATACAAACCCATCAGGAAGAAGAAGACATCTGGGAGATTCTCTTTGTCAGAGGATGCATGGGACAAGTGTGAACGTGCTGGCTGCTGAACACTTGCCTGTCGTCTGAGATCACCACTCAAGGAAGGATTGATTGCAAAACTTGCTCACACTGATGTAAAGAGATCCACTACAGTTAAGTGCATGGCTGGAATGAAGAAGACATCTACATAACAAAACACCCCATGGTAAAAATCATAGTCCAGATTTTTCAGGTAATCCAGATCTCTGGCACGACCTAGTCAGTATAACAGAGCCAGATACTAAAGGTAGAATTTATCTGAAAAAATGTAGACATCTACAGTGTAAATATTTATGGCTGAGATGGCCACGCTTGCATCCGAGAAGAAAAGGCATAATCTAGTCTATTTTGAGGATGAAAAAAACTATGTCTCAGGCTCTAACTTATTAGATATCCAGAGCTGCAAAATGAGCAAGGTGACTAGCTCATTTGTAGCTTTAGATCCATTTGCAGGTACCAACATTTAATTAGATGAATCCCAGGCTAAGTGTGCTTGACCCGGGGAACTGTCATTAAGTATCTGAGTAACTCCTGTGCCACTTTCCTAGCCCCAGGGTTTGGAATAGGTCAGCAGAGCCTGGATGGGAAAAAATAAAAGTGAAAAAGGGTGCATATGGATCAGCAGTGAGCTTTCTCAATCCTCATCTGGCGGGAAGTCTCTTGAGGACTGATGACAGCTGGAAGGGGGTCTTTCAGGAACTCTACATGAGAACAGGGACAAAACACCAAAACAGGGAGACTTGAAACATTGGTGTAAGAAATAGCCTGGCTCCACTGCCTGGAGAAATTGAGTATGAAGTAATCATTCCCCTCCTTCCTTTCTTTTCTGCCTTTGGCTTTCATTATTTCCCTTTATCACTTTAATTCCCTCTCCAGAGTGAAGATTCTGTGTCCTGCTGAGATTTCACTTTCTTCAAATTCTCTTTTTGAAAGAGGATGGACACATAGGGTCAGCACATACTTCTTATTCCTTTTTATATAAAGAATCATAAAGAATTTAAAACATTTAAGAGGAAGAACCCATTGTAAAATTCATCGCAAATAACAAACAGAAAATCTCCAGGCAATCACTGTCTCTGAAGCATTATAGGCATTACACAGCAGCAGAAAGAGAGAAAACAGTGCTGGGAAGAATAAAACAGTAATGAGCAAAACATCTGGGCGTGAGAGGCAGAGGGGGAGGGAAAGCGGGAATCATCATGGATGCTTTCCATAGCATAGTGCCAGCGTTGCTTTTCAAGACCTGTGGTTGGACTGGCAGCATTGATATTGTGCCTGTTTTGGACCTCACTCAGAGCAGCTCCGGGAAACCGTGTAGTTCACATCTGTGTTCACAGATGCTGAACAAAACAAGGTGGCAAAATGAGGCAGGAGAGTTGAATTATTTTAAAATGTAGGGACCCATAAGATGTTCTTCCTCTTCTGCCTTCAATTTGTGTTGTTTTTCCTGTACTTTTAGGCAGGAGAAATATCAGTGCAGAAAAAAAGGTCTCTAAACACGAGCCAAGAACTTATTGTTACCACTGTTATTTGTTTTGCACCATCCTTGATGTAGAATTCATGATCAGCAGCATTATTGTTCTAGATGCTGTAGAAATACAGATTGCAAAGATTGTTCATGTCCCAGATTCAAGTTTTATACGTGGTCATTTGATTTTGTGTCACCTGCAATAGAAGAACATGGAGCTACCTGGCTCGCAGAGGTTATTGTAGTTCAGCTGATTTGGTAGGGGTTTTTTTAAGCCACCGTCACTTGAACATGTCCTTGATTCTCTACAGACTCCCTAAAAAACTCGCAATATAATTTCATACCCTGCAGCCCCTCTAAGGGAAAATAAATCCTTAGAAAATTTATACATTGTTCTATGGAACTTTGCACAAGTACTCAAAAGGGGAAAGATGCAGTTCTGTGCTTCTCTCTGCTCTTGAATAAACAGAAGTTTACTCACCAATCTGGAGGAATCTCTTCCTTCTTTCAACTGTTCCTAACAAGCAAGGAAGTTATTCCCTATGTTTTGCTTTCTTTATAGGAAACGAGCTAATAACATAGTTCTTACTGCTACAGATGAATAACAGAAAACAAATGGGCAATTTTCACTTCTCCCAAGCGACAAATAGTTTGTCTGCAGCAGGTGAAAATCAAGAGGAATCAACACACTGCACATGTGACTGCTTAATTTCTGGGCAGTTACTACCTCTTCAGGGAGTTTCCTAATGAAACTTCTCCAAACAATGCTTGCTAATTTCAGCTAAAATACAGGTTCAGCTGTGGAGCAAATGTGCTTGTGGAGTAAAGAGAGAGACCCATGATATTTTCCCAAATACCGTAGACTGTGAATGCATCATGTTTGGAGTGTTCCACCTGTCGTTATCAAGCATCAAAAACAGCGTCACTCAAAACATCGAGTAAATAGTAAGAAGGTGGTAGAACTCTGTTGATGTCCCATCCTTTAATTATGGAGATAAGGCTTTGTTGGGAATGAGGGTGGCCAGATCTGGTTTGAAATAAGTGTCATATATTGAAAGGGTAGTCTGGGAGTACTTAAAGGGGATAGAGTGGAATGCTATAGTCCCAGAGGTGAAATGAAATAGATGTAATATTTGTCTACGGTGATTAAAGAAAGGTAGGGGAAAAAAAGCAACAAACAGGATCTGTGAAATGAAATGGCTTTCCAACAAGAAATATGCCAGAATTCCTCACTGGAAACTAGATGTCTTTGAGGGCATGTGGCTTCTTTACCCGAGGCCATGGAAACTGTGAAACTTGTTGCCACAGAATGCAGTGAACAACAGAAAGATGTGAAATGAGCCTGGGAAAATCTTCTTTACAATGATTCAATCCAAAAAATCCTGGGAGGAGAGAATAAAGAGCAGCTGGATTCTGCTGCTGAGCTAGTGCATAAAGGATTCAGTCCATGCCTGCCTGAGTGGGAGACACATTTTAATTAAATTGAGATGCAAAAGTCTTTCCCGTGACTCTGGGCATCCTCTATCTCTGAGCTGTGCTCTTTGAATTTGGAACAGGCAGTAGGGGAGTAGTTCAGCATGAATAGTCCCCTAGCTACCAGTTTTTTTCTGGATTTGAGTAGCTGTTGAAATAGTCTCTTTTGACCTGGGAAAAATATATGAATTCTTGAATCCAAATAATAGTTATTGCATATTCATAAGAAGTAGGCTCATGGTCAGCTTCTGGTGGTAGGGGAAGAGAAACGGGTTTTTACCCTTTTGTCCTTGCTTATGCCACTTCTGTAGCAGGGAAAAATCAGGAAATTCTGTGATTCACAAAGAGGGTTGCAAAGACACATCCCTGGGGCTGAAATGAACTGCCTTAAGTACATACTTTTCTTAATTCCACTCAACCACGCAGCTCATTTGCCCAAAGTTGGGAAACAGAACAAAAATGAGCTTGTATTGAATAGCAGGACTCTGCTAGAAATACTCCTGGCAACTGAAATGCAGGAATGATTTGCTTCAGAGGACACTCTGGTAACCTAAATATCTGCACCCTGCCCTGCCTTTCTTCTGGGCTAAAATATGCAGTGAGGAAAATGGGAGAGAAGTCTCCTCTCTTTTATCACACACACAGTGTGTTTTATCTGCCTTTCTCTGCAGTTTTACCAATTCCAGTCACAGCAGAAGAAGCAGTTTGGACAGAGCTCAGAAAATAGACCCTGATTTCCAATTAGGTTGTTTGTCATTCTCTGCCCTTCTCTCCCTGGTGCTGGTCATAGGCAGCTCCTGCTGCAGTCAGTGGGAAATGAGACAGGATATTAAACTATTAATTTCTTCTTTGCCTGCTGCCTCAGTTTCTTATCTCAGCAATAGCACAAGTAGTCTTCATCAAGATTACGGTCATCACAATGTTAATCCCTGTAAAGGTTTTCAGATCGTGTGTGAGAGAGGCACAAATTATAACCGAGCTGACGAGGGGGAATGAGCTGTTACAGAACAGACCAATGATGCACTTAATCTTATGTTCAGTCCCCTATAGCTGTTGCCACCTGTACCAGCAAAAAACATAAACACTGTCAAGATCTTTACAGGCATACAGTTCTTTTTTGTGGGTTCTTTTTTCTGTTTTATTTTTTCTTTTTGGATTAATTTTATAGATACATGTTGCTGTGTCGCCTAAAGTACAGAAGCAGATTCCCAACCTCATGGCAATTACTATGGTACATCCCCACTGATTGATTTTTGTGTCCTTATAACGTTTCTTTAAGCTCATTCAGCTGCAGTGCCTGTTTCTCTTACTGTAAGATGTTTGCATCGACACTGCTGAAAATCCCTGCAGATGTGCCAGAAAATGTTTGGGAACCATCAGTTCAATGCACATGATCTAGCCCAAGCTGAAACTCACCCGGAGAAGAGTCATTAAGAGGGTTCAGGGCAGCTGCCCTCCGTATCTTCTCCAGACAAGTCTCTTGCTCCTTTTTAATGATGCAGTTGGAATGGGTTGCCGTAACCTGAAATGTGGGGGGAAAAAAAGGAGGAGAAAAAGCAATTAGAAACTTTAAAAAGTCAGTGAATTTGTGGTGAAATATCATTAAGCTTTGAGGTCGCATTCTGAAAAGAAAAAGAAATAAAAACAACCACAGAGAGAAAATTGCAACAAACTTGTATTTGGGGTTTTTTTGTTTTCTTTTTTTTCCCCCCTCAGAATACTTAAGGCCACTTTATGGAATTTTAGTGCTTATAAACTGTATAGGGGGGTTATGTTATTCCTCCTGTCAAAGTGGAATTTGTAATATACTTTATTGTGTTCCTTCCTTATACAAGGCTGAAGCAAAGGTATGTCTAAATAAAGAAATAATATAAAGAGGAATCAGAAATCAATTGAGGCTCAGTTTGATCTTCCACCAGTTTCTTATGAGTCTTGCACAATCCACTAACTCCACTCAGGACTCAAAATTAAAAGTTCTTTCTCTCAGTCTTTCATCCCTCTCAATTCCTCAGTGTTTCCTTCTTCCTTTGCTCTCAGTGAATACAAGGCAACTTTCTTGCCAAAAGAGAACTCAATGCCAGTTAAACTGAGATGACTTCATAGAAATCTCTTCTTTTCAGGTTGGCCTTTTTTATTTTATTTTTGTCTTTAAGGCTGTAAGGCAGACAACAAGAAGTAAAATGTAGAGGTGAAATAAAGGAAAAAAAAAAGAAAAGTTAATTTATAAGAGGAACATTGCAACCAACAGAATACGGGTAATCCCAGAGCGGCAACAAACTAAGAATGTGACCCATTCCCAGAAATCAATACAAGATTTCATTCTTGTTGCAGACAGTGGCCAGAGGATATTAAATCAAGGGCAAAATGAACACAGGTTGTATCTGATCATTTTATTGGGGCACTGCTAAGGTTCAAGTCACACTCTGGAAAACATCAGGAAAATCAGTGCCCCAGCTGAGGATGGAGTAGGTCCCCCTGGGTCACTGAAGCAATTTTATTGTTTCCTATTTCCCATCTTGTTTCCTTCACTCTTGATGATGGAGAACTACAGATGAAGTAGAGTACTTGTCAAGTTTTCTGTTTTCCCTCAACTACTAAGTAGGAACAAGCAAACAGGGAGAACAAAAGCCTGAATTCAATCTACTTCCGTTTATTTTGGAGACCGGCGGGCACAGTTCAACATCCCTCCCTTCCCAACGGAGGGAATGGAGTGAAGAGTTTGCACCACTTAACCCATCGAAATGCTACCACACACTAAGTGGACGCTTGAGTAAACCCCAAGGCACATGTAACTGGCTGGCTGGTGCATGTGTTACGCTTCTGACTGCTGAATTGTAGAATCACAGATTACTGGGTTGGAAGGGACCTTAGGGATCATCTAGCCCAACCCTTTTAGGTAAATAAATGCAGTTTGAATGAGATGGTCCAGCACCCTTTCAAGCTGAGCCTTAAAAATATCTGAGGTTGGGGAATCCACCACTTGTCTCGGAAGATTATTCCAGTGTCTAATTGCTCCAGTGTCTAATTGTGTGCACTTGGAGGCACAAGGGCATTCTCCCGCTTTTCATCTTGTAACAGCCACAAGCCACCAGCCCTATTTCCAAGACAGAGAGTGTTTCCTTGGGAACCTCTAGGAAAGCTTTACTCTCTCTATTTGTAGGAACAGATAATGCTACACAATTTCATCTCCAAGATCCTGGTAATAAATTTCAGCTATTTTCCCCCCGTGGGATACACCAGGCATAACCATGTTAGATTCGTTTATCTTCAAAACAAACACTGTTCTGTTCTAAGGGCTCCCAAGGGCCTGGAAAATATATACTGTCACAGATCTCTAGGATCTCCCAAGAACATGAGGGCTTTTGCTATATCATCCCCTAAACCTCACCAAAGACTGGGAAAATTGCATTGGCTGACATTCAAGTTCTTAGAATATCTTTTAGGGTTATTTAGGGAATAGCAAGGTTCTGCTGCTAGTGCTGGTTCTCCACAATTGCCCAGGTCTGAAAGAAGTGTCCAGGGGTTGTCTCAGTGCATGAAATTGGCAGTTTCTATGCAGTTCAGCATATGCAGATTAGAAAAGCTGTCATTTAGTAATAATAACAATAACATATTTGTCATAGATATTGTTTATGCAAGCAGCATATGAATAAACAAAAGGCAATGTTTCTTCACAAACCTATTTTTAACCTGCAGAACTCTTTCCAGCTTGATTGTGGATCTTAAATTTTATACAAGTTCAAAATATATATATCTGTGTGAACTTATGTCAAATCTATCAAAGAATGTTAAACACTAAGAAACCCACCATGCTCAGATTTTAGTGTCCTATGGGGTAATCATAGACCTTTGAGAAGAAGGTTTAGATTCAGAATGTAGTGAAAGGGCAAAAGAGTGTGATTAATCCTTCCTATTTTTAGTGGTTTGTTTAGTAGAGGTAAGTCAAAGCCAGGGCTTGGCTGATTGTAAAGAAAGCCTAAGGTTAAAATCTCAGATTTTACTGTTTTCCTTGCAGACAGTCACAGCTAGTCAGATGTATCTGACTAATCTGACTACATTTAGTCAATTGTATCAGAGTAAGCCTGGCTGAGGTGATATTTGAAATGTTGTCTACTGGGCACAGAGTGAGCACTAGAGTGATGTGCTTCACCTGTCCCTGCAGCTTTCCTTAAGCTTTCATTGGCAGAATATTTTGATGTGACTTCCCATAACCATCTTTATGCAGTTTTGTAGCCCTCTACAAGAAAAGATTTAAAACAAATAAATAAATAGTGGCAAACATGGGAACTGAGACAGAAAGCAAAGAAAGGGAAGAAATATTAACCTCAAAGCCAGAGAAACGTCATCTCTACTAATAAGCAACGCGGTATTTGAGAAAATAACCCCAGGTTTAGATTGTTAATAACAAAATGTTTCTCTGCTGAACAAAAAGATATTTGAATGTTATCATGTTTTCCTGAAAGGATCCACATGTTTCATGTTTCTCCACTAACTGTGCAGTGGTGGAGCCTTTAATCTGTTGAGTCAGCCTTCGACAACGGAACAGCAGAACACAATTCAAGTGGAAGTGTAAGCTTGAGCTTCATGGCCTCCTGATTTCATTTCTCTTGCCTCAAGGACATTTGCAATTTCCTGGATTCAGCATAGACAGTCTGGTTTGTTTCCCAGAAGATATCAGTGATATGTGCAGTTTAAGTATATTTTGACACATGCTAGGAAAAAAGCAAGAAACCAAGTGGATATTGCATGAAATTCACTCCTAAAAAAAAAAAAAAATATTACTCTCAGTGAAGTGAAAGGGTTTGACTCACACCAGTTTTGAAGAGGCATATATTTGTATACAATAAATACAATCAATGTCTCTTTAGTTCTGAGAGAACACAAAACTGGAAAAACAACTAGCTACAGTATAGATCTACAACACACCGAGAGCTTTAATTTTTCTTCGCTTGTTTTTATCAAAGTAGCCACCGTGAAAATGAATTTGGATGTACAGCTTGCAACTTGCAGTACTTAATCCTTTGTTGTTCTCCTGACATTATGGTAATATTAATAACAATTGTGTTATTATGTTAAAGCCTACACATCTCCTCTCATACTCTCAAGGTGCTACTTTACTGTGACACATTAAGAAAGCTGTTGTTAGTACATAATCCTGAGCAGAGGCCCAGCTGAACACATCCGTGCTGCTTACAGACCTGCCCTAGCTATATGTGGAAATTAGACGAGCAAATCTGAGAGTCGTGTTTATGCAAGGCATCACTCAAATATGCAGATGCCTGAGGGAAGGAACTACATGAAGAGAAGTGTGCAGGTCAGAAGCATACCATACCCTTCCCTGTTCATGGAAATACATGTTGCCAGCTGATTCCAGTAAGAAATTTAAGTAAGTTTTCTTTCTTCTTGTTTCAGTTCAACTCTATCAAACTGGGAGCAAGGCAAGTGTAGTTAATGTCAGGAGCAACTTTCTTTCCCCAAACTTTCCATACTGAGAAGTCAAAAAGGCAAGCTGTCTGATTTGGTGCATAAAGATCTACCTTTCAGTTATTCAAGAAATACTGTTCTGCTCAGTCTGCTCTGTGTGAGAGTGTTCACAATTGTTTTAAAATGTGATTTCACTACACAAGCTATTTCAGTGGATCTACAGAAATGAGAAAAGTCACCAGTAGTCTTGAGAAACTCCAGGAACAGAAAATATGCTTTGAACTCATGGTAAAGATATGATAGTGAACTGTGCAATTCACTTGGCATTTTCATTTGTACATGGGGTCAAACATAGCAATTCAATACCACTAGGTGTTCTTTCTCCTTCTGCATTTCTGTATTATTCAATAAAGTTGTGATTGTTTTTCTTTGCAAAGTAGATGAGAATATTTCCACTCCATCCATGACATGTCGTATCAGGCACCATGACAATAAGGAGAGGCCAGGTTGGACAGGACTTTGAGCCACCTGCTTTAGTGGAAAATGTATTTGTCCACGGCAGAAGAGTTGGAACGAGATGGTCTCTAAGTCCCTTCCAATCCAAATCATTCTGTGATTCTATGCTTCTATGCTTATGTGCTCCTACGATTCCATGATTCTGTGATTTTATGAAAGGAATAAATAAATACAGACAGGAAAAAGCAAAGAAACAGTAAAAACAAAACCTTTTATTAAATCCCTCAGGGACAGTGCTTTATATCAACATAGAGATGAAAAAGAGTCTGATTCACCTCTTGTGTATATGTTGTCTATAAAGTAATGCAAGAGAGGACTTCAATCTACTAGGTATCTCACATCACTCACTTTGTAGTGAATTACAGTTTTTACTATTTATGACTTTCAGTTTTAAAAGTTTAACTTAAAAGTGATAAATTATTATGTGAGCATTGTCAAAAGAAACTTACTTCGTCACAGAAACAACGTTGCTAGATTTAATCTCTGCTTTTATCAAGCAATGACATAACTGGTCAAACCAGGACTAAGACTTGCAAAATGTTGAGTTAAAAATAGAGAGGTTTAGGGGAGGATCTCTGATTA